AGATCCTAGCTATTAGGTTTGAATCCTTCTAGGGCATAATTCATTTGATTTCATGTTACATGTGTTAACTTCTCATTTTTTTGCCAACCCTAACTTGATATGTCAATCATGATGGAAAGAGTACATTATACCATTAAGGACTTTGGGACTAATTTAGAGCAAGCCCAATGTGAGGAAGAGGATTTTCTATCCTTAGGATATGTCTTTAGATTGTCAAAGAGGGTTCAAATCATTAGAGGATGTCTAATGTGGGCTTATTACTCGGTTATTAAGAGATGTTTTTTCTTTAAAAGATTAGTTAAACTTTCGAAGCGATATGGAGACGTAGCTTAGTTAGTTAGGGTAAAGACCCAATTGTCATACTTGTAGGCTACGTTAGGTCTCTAGGATGTAGAGTACTGATGTTTCACTCTTAGGAGTGCGGACTTGACCCATACTTTAGAGGAGTATATGTTAGTATAGGTGCCCAAGATCCAACCATGTTTAGATGAGCTTGAGTTATTATATTATTACATCATTCATTTTAATAATAATAAAAAAATATTTCTATTAATTCTTATGCTTTTATGTTTATTAATTCAATAGAATTAGATAGAAGTCCTTATGATATGCATTTACAATAGTGATTACTCGAAAGATGTGAGACGAACACTAATGCATATAAATGATATCATTAAATGTCCTAAGTCATAGCATTGTCAAGAATGAATGTTGACTATATACAAATAGACTTATGAGTGCTATACTCATGCTATATGATAGCAGTAGGAGATCTCATATTTATTAGCATGGTGATGCTAAAGCAAGCACTTAGGTGATTTATGTTAGAGAACATATCACTTGGACTTGACTCGCCATGAGAATCTATTTGGTTTAGTCTATAGGAATCTCATACGAGATGGGTACAACTAGTCTTTTGACTTGAAGTCATTATAGTTATCTCATTAGAAGATTTATACACTTTGACACTCATTTCAATAGACCTAGTAAAGGGTTGCACGTGGACGATTTGTTAGGTGCATTAGGAATTTAATGGAGGTAGGTGTATGATTAAGATAGGACATGTCATTCTTTATATGCTAAAAGAGTTATCACATTATACTTCAATAAATGTCTACTCGGAAAATCTATAGCCATAGTAAGATTACACCAATAGAGCATAGTTGGTTTTCTTTAAGAGCTAAAACATTTAGGAATCAAATAAAAATTATATGATCATAATCAAACAAGACTTATAATCAAGTTCGAGATCACACCTGTGATAAGTTGACATGAGGATTGAATTGTATGGTAATTATGCTCGTGAAAGATAATAGTGGATTAATTAACCTTCCTAGAGAATTGGGTAGTTATAATGTCATGCTGTGAGGCTAATCTTAATTTATGTATCAAGAAATAAAATAGGACTCTTTTATTCTTAATACATTGCCAACATCTCTATGAGGCTATTGAGTCACACATAAGTTTAAGCATTCACATGATTAAAAATGAGCAAAGATATTGAAAAAAGTTTCCAATTATGAAAATTTCCTATTTTGGAAAAGGTTTCCAAAAATAGAAAGTTTCTGAAAAAAAAAAAGAAAACTTCCTAAAATGGAAAGTTTTCTATTTTAGAAATCAGTTTTCTAATTTGAAAGTTGGTTCCTAATTTGAAAGTAAATAATATAAAATGGAAATAAGTTTCCTAATTTAGGTGAAAGGGTATTTTAAAAAATTGTTTCTTAATATGGGCCACCTAAAATTATCTAACATTATTTATTTGGATAGTCCTAATAAATTAATTGGATCAGAATGGTTTTAGCTTAATAGGTTTAACTAAAAGCCTTAAGATATTTTGGTGAGGGGTAAACATCAACCTTATTAGATAAGAATGAATGTTTTAAAGATAAACATCAATCTTATTGGATAAAGATGAATGTTTTAAGGATAAAGATCAAAAGCCCACATGCAAAACAACTCTTAATCCTTGAAGGATTAGGAAGCAATAACCATAAGTCCAATTAGGACTTTTTTGTCGTCCTTCTCCTTATCCTTGGAGGACAAGGAAACTCTCCCCCTATAAATAGGAGGAGAGGAGGTGCAAGCATAAAGAGAGAGAATTTTAAGAGAGAAAATTTGACCAATAAAGAAAATAAAAGAGACACATGGCTTAAGATAAAAAGCTAGGAGAAAATTATTTTCTCCCTAACCCTAGCACACCATCTCATCTCTCATCTCTTTAGGTTGTCACAAAATTGCTCGGATTAGTTTTCTATAGAAAACACTACATAAATTAAAAACGAAAAAAAGATGAAGCTAGCACTCTATCAATTTTGAGTGCTTCTTTGTGGGTGTTTGGACAGCGTGGATCATCGATAAAGGTTGAAAACTTGAATGGCTTTTCTACAAAAGAATTTAGATCCGCGCTACAAGAGGTAATTCTATATTCATTGCTTTAATTCATGTATATATATAGTTAGTTGATTTAAAAGCATGATCTTGGGCCTTTTAGATGAGGAAAATTTTTATTTATTTCGCACCTCCATAGGATGCATTATCCTTCGAGTATAAGTCTTAAATGGCATGTCTAAAGTCATACAAGTATACTTTTACAATCCTAGAGAGTCGAGTCTTGCTAATTAAGAGTGGTTAGTCAAGTTAGATCCTAAAACAATGGCGATGCATGAAACAAAGTGAGGATAGGGCCAAGGTTGCTTTTGGAGCACCTTGTAGCTAGTTTTTAAGAGACATCTAGAAGATAAGGATAACACGAGTCGGTTTAAAGTCAAAAGTTAGTCGGCTAATTAATTCTTATTCGGTTGGACTAATTTGTACAGTTTTAGTTTTTGGCCCATAACTTGAGTTTTAGGCCCTTTTTTTAGCAAAGCCCGGTGCATTAGAAGTGAAGGAATGGGGCTATAACTTTCTTCAAGAGAGAAACATCATATTCAAAATGCATCCGGCCCATATGTGGCAGCGAAAGACAAAACAGAAATTAGGATTCTAAATTCCAGGAGATTACTTAAGAGCTATGACTTTCAAAATCTCTAATTATGTTATTTTTCAGAATATAACTCAAATTGAAAGGAACATAAACTTCTCTGCTTCCTCTAGATTTTTTCTTGAATTATTTTGTAATTGTATTTTTTTAATTCATTCATATCTCGGATAAAAATATTAATCGATTCAAGGAACTTCAATCCGATTAGTAAATTGTGAGACTTTGTCCTTCATATTAGTCAAGTATTTTTCTATTGAAATATCTATATCTTTTTATTTTAATTGTGTACGATTGAACTGATTAAGATGCATATTAATCAATTTAATTGTATGACCTATTGCTAGATTGAGATCTTAATCCATAATTGTTATGCTTTTCAATTAGAGTAGCAATTAAGTAGAACAATTATGATCCCAATTTTTGTCACTTGCTTAAAAAGAGATACAAAATGAATTAAATAATATGAACTTATTAAATTATTATTCATTTTTAACTCCTTCTTAGTTAGTATAATGCTATCAATTGAATCTCGAGGATTGCTTAATACCAATTGTTTGTTTGATAAGATTTAGTTTGGGTGCTTGGGCTTAGATTGATGAAATTAGGAAGGGTAAAGATTGTTAGGTTTCTTGATAATCTTTGGTTAAATATTTGAATGAAAAATACGTGTCTATAAATATATATGGTCAATGATTAGTTTACAACCATGAGACATTCCCTTGAATCGATATCTTCTTAATTGAATTTTCTTTATTGATTTTGATCTGTTTATATCATAAAACAAAAAACCCCTTTTCTATCCATGATTTGGTCTAATTAGTTCCCCGTGGATTGTCCCTTGCTCATCTTATTTACGAGTTTAGAAAATCGAGTATGGTAATTTATTTTTGGTTATGCTCAGCACGCATCGGCTTTGTCTATCGTGGCATCCGAGGTATTTTTGTTATAGTCTTTACTTGGTGAATTAAATTTAAATCCTATGGCTCAAGTTATGTGGTGTGATAATTTAAGTGCCACTTACTTAATTTGTAATCCAATCTTTCATTCACCGTCCAAATATCTAGAGATTGACTTTCATTTTGTTTGTTATCTTGCGAATGAAGGACATATGTTTGTTCAATATATCTCTACACAAGATCAACTAGCCGACTGTCTTACTAAAGTTCTTACTCGCATATGGTTTTAGTTTCTACTTGACAAGTTGATAGTTCAACATTTCTCTCGCTCAACTTGAGAGAGGGTGATAGGATTGTAATGAGATTAGAATAGAACTCTATATAATGTGATTAGGATAGAACTCTATCATGTTTATTTATACTTGTATCTATAATATAGAGTTATACATGCCTTGTAACCTATATATAGATACATTGATACAGAAAACACAAATGTGTTGAATTCACTAGACACCAAAACACTTTAGTTTTTCCTATCAAATGAGTTTTGAAAATTAGTAGCTCCTGTTCATTTGCTGAGAAAGTGAATTGGATAATTGAATAGATTCATCTAATGCAATTCTTTGAATTAACAAACAATTTGTTCACAAACCGTGGAGGCTACAACATGTGTTTATTGCTATATTTACCTTGATTAGGAATCTCAAATCTGGCGTATTCTTAGAGAAGGAAATAATGTGACTGAAAGAAGAATTTTTAACTTGGTTGTAATGTTTTTACTTTGTTTCACCGGCTTTAGCTATTTTCTGATTGTCTAATGTACTTTATTAATCTTATCGTCTGTCGTCAAAAAAAAAAAAAAAAAAAAAAACAAAAACGTGTACAAGTTGGTTTCCCAAAGTAAAGATATTCTATTATATTCTATACATGAATTCTAAGGTCACGGAAAGAATTATTCTTTAGCTAAGTTGCAAGTCTTGATAAAAAAACATTTAGAAGTTCAAACCAAACAACCCAAGATCAAAGCCAGGCTCGCTTTTTATATCTCTCTCTACATATTGATGATCATAATCATATTAAAATCTCTATCATTTCTTAAAAGAACTTGTTGGAACTTTGCAAACATGATCAATCTTTTGTTTACCATGGTATTCACAGAAATGACTCTGATCCTAATCCTTTTATTTAGAACCCCTTTAAGGAAGTTAGTGATCTTAGGGATGGACAAGTTGAAGCAAGGGAAGGGTCCATTGGTAGCAAAAACTGTGGCCACAACCTTGCTTGTGGTGTTCACTTCCGTCTTAAACAACGTAATGCAGATTAGGAAACGTTTGCTAGATGCAGGTGTGGTTAATTCAACCGATGAGGTTCTTATGGCAGAACGTATTTTGGAAGCATCTCTTTTAGGTAACTCGTAATCATATATCTTAATTAATCTTGATATTAATTCTTGATCAGTGAAACAATTAATCGTTTTAATTAATGCGTAGGTATTGCTTCAATTTTTAGTTTACGTGTTATGGATTTTTGGCAGAACTTATTTCTTGAGGAGAGAGCAAAATCTTGCATATATTCTTAATTCTGTTTTACAGCTCCAATTAGATGGCTTGACCAGTTTCGAAAATTAATTAAAAAACATATTCAATTAAGTTACGGTTCAACACTCTTAGGATTGCATGCTTTGCAGGATTTTCTCTATTCCTGGCACTGATGATAGATAGACTACATTACTATATCAAAGAACTCTTTCTTGTTCGGGATGAGATGGAAGAGGTGAAAAGATTAAACCAGCTGGATCATAAAGACAAGAAAAGCAGCAGGAGAAGTGCGGATACGTACTAATATGGGAAATAAGAAGTTAAACAGCTGGAATCTGACCCCCAGAACAAGAAACGCAAAATAAAGGAAGCATACAGGCTCCGCCAAGAATTTAACAAGAAATTATATATGTGTGCGTGTGTGACCATAATTCATACTAGTTATGGATTCCTTGCATTGCTACAAGTCACATATATTTATCTTGTATTATATTAACTTTAATAGTATTTTCGTCAGTGTATATAAATTACTCATATGCAGACACGTTTTCCTTAATTCTAAGACAACTAAATGACCGAAGGGTGTATTAGATAATATTTAATTTAATTGATTGATTTTTATTCTTGAAAGATATGATTGATGAGTGATGTAATAGTTAAGGATATATTAATTGGTTTTTCATAATTTTAGATTGAATTTGGCTACATAAAGTATATTTTTCAACTTCTAAAGCCAAACATTACCTGTGAAAATTATTTTGTACCCTTGTATTTTTTATTATTTGTTTATTTTAACTTTTTTTAATTCAGATACAGTATAAAATAAATCCTATATTATTTAAATTAAGACAAGTTAACCTTTTCATCTATCTATGTAAACTATATGTCATCATACAATTAGTTAAACGTCATATGAAAAAGTTAGTTTGTTCTTATTTTAAATAATACATGTCATTATATGATGAGTTCAACGTTAGATTAAAGAGCTAGTTTATCTTAATTTTAAGTAGTACATAGTTAATTTAATATCATACATTAATAAATAGATTAAAATAAACAATATTAGATAATACATAAATAATACTTATATTTTTCTTCAAACATCACAGCTCTAAAACTATTAATTATTTGTCAGCTACACGCAAATTATTTATTACAGAAGAGACCTTTATTGTCTTATTACAAGATTGGCTTGGATACCAAAACCCTTTACTTTGTGAATTTTCTCACATCTCTAAAATTCATCATTTATAAGAGATTATAAATTTCAAACACTTTATATATATATATCATCAAATTATATAACTCCAACTAATTTAAACTAATTTGTAACCTCATAATAACTTAAAGGGTTATATATATATATATATATATATATATATATATATATAGACTCCGTATTTTTTGAATTTTTTTTATTGGTACTTTTAACTTTTTTATTTTACTTGATTGCGATTTTTTATTTTTTGCTTAAATTTTTTTGTTATGATGTTGTCTATTTTTAATTTGACATAATATATTATCATTAGGTTTTATCTATCAATAATTGACATGTGATATGTTAGATCTTATAACACAATAAAAATTGATTTTAATAATAAAATAATGAAAAAAAAATAACCCCAATTTTCTAAACCCGTAAAACGTCCTTCTCTCTCTCGCTCACTCACAAACCGACACTACACCAAAAAGGAAGATTTGCGAGGGGAATTTAGCGACGGTCTAAAAGCTGTCTCTAAATAATGAAATTTGCGACGGTTTGAAGAAATTTTGCGAGGAAAAAAAAATTAGCGACTATTTTTTTGTGACAGACTATGTTAACCATCGCTAATAATTAAATGTAAGCAAATTTGCAACGGGTTTTTTAGCTAGAACCATCACAAAAATTCAAATTTAGTGACGGACTTCGATCCGTCGCTAATCCCGTCCGGAAAATCCTCCCATTGGGGGGAAAATAGCTATTTTTAGCCTTTAACCCCTTTTTGACCCACTCGCCCGCATTTCTTTCCCTATTTTCTCTTCTTCCTCTCTTCTTCTCTTGCACTTTCCAGCATTGATTTGCCCCATTTTTCCTTCATTTTGCTTCCAATCTACTCCTCTCTCTCTCGTCCTTCTCTTTCTCCCCTCAATTTCTCCCCTTTCTCCCCTTTTTTCCTTCATTTTTTCTCTCTTTCTTCCCCCTTCTTTAACCTTCGGATTCCGGCCAATCCACCTTCGGTGAAGCTCCTCCACCGTCGCAACCTCCTATCCTCCTTGTGTGGGTGAAAGGTCCTCCCTCATCTAACCCCTTAATTAATTTTTTAATTTTTTGTATTTTTTTCATAATTAAATGTTAAATTATTTTTTTAATTTAATTGTTAATGTTAATGATAATTGTTAGTGTTAATTGTATTATTGTTTAGTGTTAATTGTTAATTGTGTAAGTGTTAATTGTGTTATTGGTTAGTGTTAATTGTTAATTGTGTAAGTGTTAATTGTGTTATTGATTAATTGTTATTGTTAATTTAGTGTTAATTGTTAATTGTTAATTGTGTTATTGTTATTGGTAATTGTTAATTTATTTTTAATTGTTAATTTAGTTAGTTTAAGTGTTAAATAAATGTAATTGTCATGAATTTGTGTTAATTTTGTTAGTTTAATTGCTTACTTGTTAATTTAATTGTTAAATAAAAATTTGATTGTTGTTATTATTAGTTTCTTTGTTAATTTGGAAGCTTCATTGGTAAATTTTAATTGTTAATTAAGTTTATTGTTAAATATTGTTAATTATAAATTTAGTTAGTTCAATTTATGATTTTTTGTAATATTAATTAATTTAAAAACTTGATAATCATTTTATAAAAAAATTTAGCAATTAAAAATTATTATTTTTCTAAATAATATTTGGTAATTGGAAAATTAATTAGTAATTAAGTTGTTTAATTAGTCGTTGATTAAGTGGAGTAAAGTAAATACAAAATTAAGTAGTTATTACAAATTTTAATTATCTTTAAATTATATTTAGTTATATAAAATATAATTAGTGATTAAGTTTATTTATTTGTTGATTAGATTAAAAAAAGGAATTAAATTGTTACATAATTAATTAGTGACTAAAAAAAATCTTTTTTCGAAATCTAATTTAGTTTTTTTAAAAACTAATTAGCAATAAGGTTTAATTGGTTAATTTAGTTAATAATTAAGTAAATCACATGGTAATTAATTTAGTCAATAAGTCAATAATATATTTTAATAAACTAGTTGTTCATTAAGTGAAGCACTTAAGTAATTACAAACTTAAGCGAGTTATAACAAATTTTAATTATTTGTAAAATATGTTTAGTTATAAAACATTTAATTATTTATTAAGTTTATTTATTTGTTGATTAGATTAAAAAAAGGAATTAAATTGTTACATAATTAATTAGTGATAAAAAATAAATATTTTTCAAAATCTAATTTAGTTTTTTTAAAATGAATTAGTAATTAAGCTTAATTGGTTAATTTAGTTAATAATTAAGTAAATCACTTGGTAATTAATTTAGTTAATAAGTCAATAATATATTTCAATAAATTAGTTGTTCATTGAGCAAAGCACTTGAGTAATTACAAACTTAAGTAGATACAAAAAATTTTAATTATTTGTAAAATATGTGTAGTTATAAAAAATTTAATTAGTTATTAAGTTTATTTATTTGTTGATTAGATTAAAAAAAGAATTAAATTGTTACATAATTAATTAGTCAATAAAAAAATAAATATTTTTCAAAATCCGATTTAGTTTTTTTTAAATGAATTAGTAATTAAGCTTAATTGGTTAATTTAGTTAATAAGTAAGAAAATCACTTGGTAATTAATTTAGTTAATAAGTCAATAATATATTTCAATAAATTAGATGTTCATTAAGTGAAGTACTTAAGTAATTGCAAACTTAAGTAGTTATAACAAAGTTTAATTATTTTTAAAATATGTTTAGTTATAAAAACTTTAATTCGTTATTAATTTTATTTATTTGTTGATTAGATTTAAAAAGGAATTAAATTGTTACATAATTAATTAGGGATTAAAAAAATAATTTTTTTCGAAATCTGATTTAGTTTTTTTAAAAATAATTAGTAATTAAGTTTAATTGGTTAATTTAGTTAATAATTAAGTAATTAAATCACTTGGTAATTAATTTAGTTAATTAGTCAATAATATATTTCAATAAATTAGGTGTTCATTAAGTGAAGCACTTAAGTAATTACAAACTTAAGTTGTTATAACAAATTTTAATTATTTGTAAAATATGTTTAGTTATAAAAAATTTAATTAGTCATTAAGTTTATTTATTTTTTGATTAGTTTAAAAAAAGGAATTAATTTTTTGCATAATTAATTAGTGATTAAAAAATAAATATTTGTCGAAATCTAATTTAGTTTTTTTAAAATGAATTAGTAATTAAGCTTAATTGGTTAATTTAGTTAATAAGTAAGTAAATCACTTGGATATCAATTTAATTAATAAGTCAATAATATATTTCAATAAATTAGTTGTTCATTAAGTGAAGCACTTAAGTAGTTACAAACTTAAGTAGTTATAACAAATTTTAATTATTTGTAAATTATATTTAGTTATAAAAAAATTAATTAGTTATTAATTTTATTTATTTTTTGATTAGATTAAAAAGAAAAAAATAAGGAATTAAATTTTTACATAGTTAACTAGTGTTTTAAAAAATAAAAATTTTTCAAAATCTAATTTATTTTTAAAAACATTAATTAGTAATTAAGTTTAATTGGTTAATGTAGTTAATAATTAAGTAAATCACTTGGTAATTAATGTAGTTAATAAGTCAATAATATATTTCAATAAATTAGTTATTATATTGAGTGAAGCACTTAAGTAATTACAAACTTAAGCAGTTATAACAAATTTTAATTATTTGTAAATTACATTTAGTTATAAAAAATTTAATTAGTGATTAAGTTTATTTATTTGTTGATTAGATTAAAAAAAGGAATTAAATTGTTACATAATGAATTAGTGATTAAAAAATAAATATTTTTTGAAATCTAATTAAGTTTTTAAAAAATTAATTAGTAATTAAGTTTAATTGGTTAATGTAGTTAATAATTAAGTAAATCACTTGGTAATTAATTTAATTAATACATCAATAATATATTTCAATAAATTAGTTTTTGATTAAGTGAAGAACTTGAGTAATTACAAGCTTAAGTTGTTATAACAAATTTTAATTATTTGTAAAATATGTTTAGTTATAAAAAATTTAATTAGTTATTAAGTTTATTTATTTGCTGATTAAATTAAAAAAAGGAATTAAAT